CAAAACACGGTGAAACCTACTTCTCTGAACCTTCTCTATTTTCAAGTTTTAACCTAAATATGAAAGTTACAAAACACGGTGAAACCTACTTCTCTGAACCTTCTCTATTTTCAAGTTTTAACCTAAATATGAAAGTTACAAAACACGGTGAAACCTACTTCTCTGAATCTTCTCTATTTTTCAAGTTTTAACCTAACTATGAAAGTTACAAAACACGGTAAAACCTACTTCTCTGAATCTTCTCTATTTTCAAGTTTTAACCTAAGTATGAAAGTTACAATACACGGTGAAACCTACTTCTCTGAACTTTCTCTATTTTCAAGTTTTAACCTAAACATGAAAGTTACAAATCACGGTCTAACCTACTTCTCTGAACCTTCTCTATTCTCAAGTTTTAACCTAAATATGAAAGTTACAAAACACGCTGAAACCCACTTCTCTGAATCCTTCTCTATTTTCAAGTTTTAACCTAAATATGAAAGTTACAAAACACGGTGAAACCTACTTCTCTGAACCTTCTCTATTTTCAAGTTTTAATAAAGCGAAAGTTATTATTTGAAAACACACTGATGATGATATGTTTCAATCCTTAAACTACATACTAAGATTACTAACCCCATTGAAAAGTTACTTCATTGAGGGTATTCTCTTTGTTTATCATTTGCAAACTAAATTCGTTTCCCTCTGTTTGGTCAAACGTACGTTAACGGATTTAAAACGCTAACCTCTGAGGTTTGATTCACCGTGGTAGACAGAGAGCAGACAGCCCATTGTGTAGTTTTGCGCTAAAAACATAAAATATAAACTATATTTTAAAGTCTTATTTTTAATTGACCCACAGATGTTGGCCAAGTACGTTTTAAACTTTTGTTAAATTTTAAAGTCTTATTTTTTAATTGTTCCACAAATGTTGGCTAAGTACGTTTTCAACTTTTGTTAAATTTTAAAGTCTTATTTTTTAATTGTTCCACAGATGTTGGCTAAGTACGTATTCAACTTTTGAAATAAATGTAGTGTTTGTATTTTCCAGACTCATCTATTTCTAGAAAACTCCTTCAAAAGAGTTTATTTTTTCTAGGTTCAACATTTTTTTTCTGGGTCTGTTACTTATGAATCAACGTACAGAATCGCGTGAAGTTTTGGAGTGGGCGTTGCCTAGTGCATAGCATGCCGGACTGTGGATCTGAGGGCCTGTGATTTGAATACTGTTACCACAAAAGGCAAACAATGTACTCCTCAACTTGCGGTCGTGTGTGCGTTATAAGTGTAAGTGTTTCTCAGATGATTTTTTTCTAGTTTAGAAACCGTAGTATTTTAAATACAATATATTTATTAAAAGCTGTTTTGATAAGTAAAAGGTATAGAATACAAACTGGGGGTTTACAGAACTGATATTACCTATTTACCCGCTTTCGGTCCTAATTTGGGTGATGTTGACTAGCTGCATTTCCTCTCGCTTATCAATTAAACACAGATAACCCTTTTGTAGCTTCAGAAACATACATGTCATTCGTACCTCGCGTTAAAATATTCTTATAAGTTACGTATGCATGTTAAATATTATTTAAATGAATAGAAACTTCATTGTGAGGAATTTATACGAATCCACCATTCGGTAATAAGTATACTTTACAATAACGTGGCTGAAAAGTCAGTGAAATAAAACAACGACCTATATCTCCAGAATGTATGTTTATCAATCATTGTTTCTCTATTACGGCTTCACGAGAAGCTATATATATCGCACAAGTTCGCTAATCCAGATGAATCTAAACTAAAACATCGTCATTAACAAATCGAACATTGATGCACGCGTCGAGAAGGTTCAGACCATATTCAAATAATATCAAACGTTCTTGAAATTAAATTCTTGAAACAAATCAAACGATCAAGGGTAAACCAACAGATAAACTAATAAAATCATAAGATTTGGAATAGGAAACGTTACATAAATATATGTAAATCTATACATCTATTGGTATTTTTACAGAAATCTGTAATATTTTGTCCCGTTACATCAATACGTAAACATTAAGATATCAAAATTCAAGCATATTAAAGTCTTAATGATGTCATTAACATCTCTATACTAGACGTCAACCTAATGTTTACCTTTCTTGATTAATATAGATTCTAACCCGAATACTACACTTGTTAGTAATGGGGTTATGGATGCCACGTACGTGTTGAAATATTCTGTCACATCCTAGGGTGTCTTTCACAAGTTATTTCATAAACGTTTTTACAATGATGTAGTCCATATTTTTACAGTTACTTTTTTTACACATCGTGCTTCTTTTTTTGCTACATATAAGTTGAACTTTGAAGGAAAGTTGTCTGATGTATTTTTGTTTATTAAATATCCCTTATTATGTTTTGTATATATATTTTTGTGGGTGGGGATCTTTACCCTATCATCCTTCCATAATCGTTTGTTACACACTTTATCAATCCTTTGGAACCTATAATTACCCCTCATTTTACAGGAGGGGGGTATGATGAGTGTGGAAATGTAAACCAAAGGCTTCAGTAGAGGGCTTACTAAAAAAATACCACTAATGGTTTCCTCATTATTTACGTGAATGATGATATTTAAAATCGGTAAATTTCTACTTGGTATGGTAGAAACAAGTGTAAGTTTTACAAACTCATGGTAACTAACAAGAGTCTCCACACTCCAAATACGCCATCTATGGATTTGTTTCCCAAGAATTAAGTGTTTTCATTTCAAGAATGTACATAAATATCACAACCAGAACTAGTGATACTTTATTGCCCACAGTGGCTTAGCGATAAATCTGAAGACTTATAACGTTAAAAATGGGGTTTCAATACTCGTGGTTGGAACAGCACAGATAGCCTATTACGTAGCTTTGCGCTCAACAAACAAACGAATCGTTTATAAAATTCCCAGTTAAATCTTACATATCCAAACCTCAGAGTTCGTTCTAACCAATCAGTTGAAATTTCTAAAAAAGTTCTAAGTGATCTTAGATGATCAGAATAAAATGAAACATATAATCTTTAGAACATGCGTAGAATTTAGGGATTCGACTGTTATATATTTTTCAATTTTTCACTTGTAGTCGAGCTACATAAGTATGTTTCATCAATTCATTGAAAATAACTTGACTTCCATTTTTAAGTGTTTTAGTAAGAACTAAGTTTAGTTTTAATAGGATCTATGCTTAGTTTTAGTAGGATCTGTATTTAGTTTTATTAAGATCTAAGTTTAGTTTTAGTAGATCTATGTTTAGTTTTAGTAGGATCTGTATTTAGTTTTATTAAGATCTAAGTTTAGTTTTAGTAGATCTATGTTTAGTTTTAGTAGGATCTATGTTTAGTTTTAGCAAGATCTGTATTTAATTTTAGTAGGATCTATATTTACTTTTAATAGGATCTATGTTTAGTTTTAGTAGGATCTATGTTTAGTTTTAGTACGATATATGTGTAGTTTTAGCATGATATATGTTTAGTTTTAGTAGGATCTATGTTTAGTTTTAGCAAGATCTGTATTTCATTTTAGTAGGATCTATGCCTAGTTTCAGTAGGATCTATGTTTAGTTTGAATAAGATCTATGTTTAGTTTAAATATGATTTATGTTTTGTTTCAGTAGGATCTATATTTAGTTTTAGTATGCTCTGTATTTAATTTTAGTAGGATATTTGTTTAGTTTCAGTAGAATCTATGTTTAGTTTCAGTAGAATCTATGTTTAGTTTCAGTAGAATCTATGTTTAGTTTCAGTAGGATCTATGTTTAGTTTTAGTATGCTCTATTTAGTTTCAGTAGAATCTATGTTTAGTTTTAGTAGAATCTATGTTTAGTTTCGGTAGGATCTATGTTTAGTTTTAGTAGTATCTATGTTTAGTTTTAATATGATCTATGTTTAGTTTTAGTATGATTTATTTTTAGTTTTATTATGATATATGTTTAGTTTTAATATGATATATGTTTAGTTTTAGTGTGATATATGTTTAGTTTTAATAGGACCTATGTTTAGTTTTAATAGGACCTATGTTTAGTTTTAATATGATCTATGTTTACTTGTAAATGGTTATCATCATTTAGTTAATGCGTATAATTCTTTCACTCTTAGATTCTGGAGAGTTATGTCGCTATTTTATAGACACAATAGAATGTGTTTAATAAACTCCAACTTGCGTTAAAAAAGTTAACAACATATATATATATATGTGTGTATGTCTGTGGTTCATTTCCTATGTTCACACGAACGTTATATTGTGTTAGGTGTCCCTAATTCTTGTATTAGCTGTTCCTAATTGTGAGCTAGGTGATTAACTAATAAAGAAAATAACAAGCATATTGATTACTGTGCTTTTGTGGAGTATTATAGAGACAGGAGAATATAACTTAAGAAGCCCGTGTGGACCTTTGTTACTTTATTATCACAAGTCCTAATGATAAGTCAACTTAACGATACGTTAATTCAGTACACTCGAGTGAGACAGTGTTATTACACTAAGATACTATAGCTATAATGAAATTAACTAAGATTTATAAATCATTAAATACCATTTTCTAATAGTTTAATATAACCTTTAAAAACAGTTAGGAACTAAAGGTGTTACTTATTCCAAGAAAAACAACTTTCATAAACAATCAAAGTTTCTAGACTTTAGAAGCAAAACAAGTTTGATAATATTATAAAATTGAGTATTAAACTCCTGAATAGGTTATTATATTTATAGAAAAAAATTAACATAAGTTTAGAATATGCTTTAAACAACAAAATTAACCAACTAGGTTTAATTTCATCAGATTAAACGCTAACTTTCTGTCAAGTTATTTTGGAGAAAACAAAAATTCTTTACCTCTTGACATTGTACTCTCCTACACAGAGTGTTCTAGCAAGCGCTACTAAAAGAACCCCACCCTATTAGATCTTAAAAATTGCATGCTTTCGTTAACCAATAAGAAAAGTAGTAGCAAAGACGTCACAAATGACATCACAGTAGCGCTACGCCAACTAGCCTGTGTATAAAAGCTGTCAGCCTATCAGAATCTGCAGATAAACATCCTGACGATCAGAAGTAAGAGTCTACTGAACCATTCCGGTCCTCTCACAAGTAAAAAGGTGAGTTTTCATCTGAAGACAAATATACTTAGTTTCATTCAAATCTAAAAGACCACAATTGGGCTTAGTTTTAATCAAACTATCATAAGTTTGTTTAAGTTTATTAAAATGAGACAAACATAAGTTTCAATATCAAGAATGTCTCATTTGAGTCAAATAAAAGGAACTTTTTATAACCAATAATGTAGCCAAGTGCCAAGTTTATTAGAATCTGTCGTTTTCAAGGCAGTTTGTTAACAAGGCTTAGGTATTTTAGAGTGGCTAATTTCACTGTATAGTAATATAAATGTCTCATGCTTGACGCAATTCCTAAGCTGTCTTCCGCCGTCCCGTCAAAATACCAAAACACACAGCTTATGTATATATATATATATATATAAAATAATAATTTCTTATACGTATGTGTGTTTATAAAACAGTTAATTATATATATATGTATAAATAAAGCAGCTTGTTTCTTCCACGTTTAATAGTTTCAGGAATAAAACTTTTTGAATTTATTGTTTCTAGACCATTAGAAGTACATTAATTAATTTATCTTAGTTCACAAAATTATAGCTATAAACGAAAACAACCCCTGTAAAACTGTCTTTCCTCCGATACTAACGAGTGCTTACTAAGAAATAAATCATTGGAGTTATATTAACTGCCACGTTTTGTAAGCCATTAACAACAACAAACGTTCATATAGCTTTTAGTAAGATATAAACGACATTGAATATGGATGTAACTACTATTTACAACTATGGATGTAACTACTATTTACATCTATGGATGTAACTACTATTTACAACTATGGATGTAACTACTATTTACAACTATGGATGTAACTACTATTTACAACTATGGATGTAACTACTATTTACATCTATGGATGTAACTACTATTTACAACTATGGATGTAACTACTATTTACAACTATTGATATAACTACTAATTACAACTATGGATGTAACTACTATTTACAACTATGGATGTAACTACTATTTACAACTATGGATGTAACTACTATTTACATCTATGGATGTAACTACTATTTACATCTATGGATGTAACTACTATTTACATCTATGGATGTAACTATTTTCTACAACTATGGATGTAACTACTATTTACATCTATGGATGTAACTACTATTTACAACTATGGATATAACTACTATTTACAACTATGGATGTAACTACTATTTACAACTATGGATGTAACTACTATTTACAACTATGGATGTAACTACTATTTACAACTATTGATATAACTACTAATTACAAGTATATGAAGGTTTATGTCTTACTAAAAGCTATATGAACGGGATGTAAATAGTAGTTAAATCCATAGTTGTAAATAGTAGTTACATCCATAGATGTAAATAGTAGTTACATCCATAGTTGTAAATAGTAGTTACATTCAGTTGTAAATAGTAGTCACATCCATAGTTGTAAATAGTAGTTACATCCATAGTTGTAATTAGTAGTTATATCAATAGTTGTAAATAGTAGTTACATCCA